AAGTAGAGTACTTAAATTTCACGCCACTTTCATGGCTTAAACACTAAAAGCGAACGTTTATCTGCTAAATGCTCAGAATTCATCTAGGGCCATCTGAAATCCATTGGCTTCTGATGGGTCTCTCGCAGCCCCCAGATCTAAAGGTTATATCTTTCTGAACCCCTCCTTTATTTCGAAATACGTCCCTGTCGACCATTAATGCATTTTATTTGAATGATTGTGTAGGGGATAATGGGGATAGCAATGCATTAATGCGTTTATAAACATCTAAACGTTTTATTGTGATTTTAATTGTACTTTATCATTATGATATCAATAGGAAGGAATCACTGTAAAATAAACAAAACAGATTTTTATATGTAAATGTGTTTATTTGATAAATGAAATAAAACAAACAAAATTATTACATACGTTGACAAGAGAATAGTCGAATATAACAAAACAAAGATTTGTTAATAGATTTTTTTTCTACATTAGTGAAACAATGAAACCAAAATTAAGAGTGAGTTGACAAAATCATGTTTACATAATGGTTTTGGTCTACACGAAAGGCTATACCAAGTTAAATTCTTGTTTTCGGTTTTTTGAGGGAGGTTAAATCTTTGATAGAATTTTTGATTTTTATGTCGAGCTTGTGGGTGATGTAAGTTGTAATGTCGTTTTGGTTCATAGTCGTTGGTACGTCGTTTCAAACCACAAAAACGTTGTTCTCGCTTTCTTATGGTACTTCTTCGACCTTCGACCTCCTTGGGCAAACTGAAGACCCATAAAGGTCAATGGAAAGCTCTACTGTGTAGTCAGAGATGTCTATTGCATATCGCGTACTTTGAAAAAAAATTAAGAAGTTTCTCTGGTATCCACAGGAGGTAACCAAGGATCTAGGTGGAAAGGTACCATTACATTTCAGTCCTCTGTAAGCCAAAAGAATCGATCATTCATGGTGAAAATTCAACTGTTTTAAATCAGAACATAAAATTCTTAATCTTGGTATAACTTTCCAGGAATGTCTTACTACAGGAACTCTAAAATAGTAGAATGCAAAATGAAATGAAATTTTATTACAATGTATTACACATGTTATCATCTCCGTTGCAATATTTACTCGCAGCAGTTGACCCCAAACAGCGGGCTATGCGCCCATGTCAAAGCTGCTTTCCGATTTGTAAATAAGGCATTTCGGTCGAAGATTCCGCATAGCTAATAACGTTTTTCAAATTCAAAAGAAGACATAACAATTATTATTTTATTGTATTTTGAAGCTGGTGATACTCCGCACTTAAAGGAATGTTAAGAGGTTTTAGTGTGTCATAAAACGCTAAGATGTAGTCAAATTGCAAGAATCACAGACGTCTGACTGAAAATTGGAATGGTGCAAAACGATTTAATCGGTGTCCCCGATACATTTAAAAAGTTTAGAAAAACCTTTTTACATTTACAATCTCTGTGACATCTTTGGTAGCTTATTTGATATACACCAAATGGCTGACAATGACAAACTCATACATGTTATTGGCCTTTGAAGACGATCGATGAAGATTTATTGTGACCCAGGTCGTGGATACATTCATCATGTCAACTGATCAATTCATCATAGTGTTTTTACTCGGCCTGTGTCACAATGACAATGGGTCAATTAAAATTGTTGTTTTATGGTGTATTGCAAAAGCTGAAATCATTCATGAGCTCAAATAAGGTCCAAAATTAAGCAAATGTTCTTCGTTTTTATGGTATCTTGCAACGAAAGCATTAGCCATATGCGAGTTCTTAATCAAGTGCCAAGCAGCGAAGAACATTTATAGTACCATTTCAATTTAGTCTATATTTCGTCTTCTTGTGACTTGGCCAGTGCTTCTGTAGGGCAGTATCTTCTTAAACACCCAACACCAAAAGTAAGCTTATAGTAAATTGCATCAAAGCATAATCCATATATAGACCAAAATTAAGTATACGTGCTTCATTTTTAATATTATCTTGCAATATATAGACACATCTTTATGGAACAACAATCACTGGTTAAAGTTTTATGCAACAATTCGACGTGCCTGAGGACGACGGGGAAAACACGTCGAAACGTTGCATAAAACTTTAACCAGTGATTGTTGTTCCATAAAGCTGTGTCTATATATCGTACTCACAATTGCTAAATGCCATTCAAAGACTTTATCTTGCAATTGTTAGCTATGTGGACGCTTTGAAAGGGATGCTGAGTTGACATGGCAAATCGCAAAGCGGACTAAAGGGACTGTAAAGATGTTTTATGTGAATCGAGAACACTGATAACATCGATTTGCAACATTCCAATTTTAAATCACACGTCCGTGGTTCAGACAATTCGACGTGTCACTATGTGGTAAAACATTTCTTTAATTACAGGAACCACAAAAATCTGACTGAAAATGCAAATGAACCCAAAAAAAAAACACAAAATGCTCTAGATTCGCCCGACATAGTAATGGGACTAAAATGTTCAGAACCACAAAAATATGACGAACAATTGAAATATTGCAAACAAACGCCATAAATAACCCCTTAACACCTTTACTCCAAGTAATTAGATCGACAAGGTCGACATGGGATTAAAATATTACAAAGAAATTTGTGAAATGTTAAATACTTTAAATTAATAATACAACGTTTATACATAAATATTTACAAATACTGATGGTAGCATAGCACTAATAACATTTAGCACATTAAGAAAGGGTTAACTTTGAAAGTTCAGACTAGGGTAAATTGAAGTGGTTGTGTGGTCTAGGTTAAGAATTATATGAGCTACTGTTCCACGCCTTATCCCAATGGACACAAGCCTACATGATTTTGTTATCACTTACGTCATTTTAGGCTTTTCATTAACGTCAATAGCGGGAGTAATCCGCCTTTAGTGAATGTGAAAATTGAATTTGTTCACAACCTTTTTTTAAAAAATCTCAAAAGTTTCACCAAAAGCTTCATTTTTGTTCTACTCCCTTAACATGGTGCCAACGGATGGCCTGTATATAAGCCCATAAATCCACTTTCTAAAATAGGATTCAGTATGATATATCAAAGAACAGCTACCATTTTCGTGAGTAAAAATGTACATGGGAAATTTTACTGCGACTTTAGTTGGAGTACGAAGAAGACATGTCCCAAACTTACGAGTAAGAGTAATCTTCAAATAGCAAATATGAAAAAATATGTCTTGAAGAATTACAGCTTATTTTCTGACAGATAGGCTGCCAATATATTTCTGTGTTATTAACAGCAAAAGTTTAACAGTGCAGCTTAGACAGAGCTTTAACAACACATTGATATTTCAAATTGACTAGATGAATTTATACAATGTATCACATATTTACGAATTATAAAATATCATAATGAAATAAAGACCAAATACCCTTATGAATGGCAGTGGCGGAGCCGTCTTTCTTAATGGGGGGACAACTGTGGTTTCTACCCCCGGACAATTTCGAAACATAGAATTGATTTGGTGAAAATATACAAAATCAAATGATAAGTGGCAATTACCAAAATCGACAAGAAAAAACATAACTAATTCCATATACCCCAACTCGAACGGGATTGATTAGATCTTGCTTTGAAAAATTCCAATCTTTAAGTACACTGTACAATTCATTGAAAAACTTTCTTTGAGATTACGATCTTTGGCATCAAAGAGAAAAACAAATAAAACAAATATCAACTCCATTACCAGGAACTATGCTGGTGCCAGTCAAATTGATAATTGGTTTTTGATATCACTATGTACACGTGCTTTCAAAAAATGATGAAAAAATAATGGAAAAGCAGATTAAAATGCAGCTCTGGTCATCTGGCCATTTATATTCGGCTTAAAAAATCAAAAAAATTTTACATATAAAAACACAGAAAATATATGTATTTATATAATTAAAGTACAATTTGTGACTTTTGATCTCATATAAAAGTTATTAAGTTTCTAAGTTAATATTTAATACTGATGACATTCATTGTGACTTGGTTTTCAGATTCATGGTAGCTTTAATGTATGAAATTTCTAAGTAACATTTTAAACGTAAATTTGTAGAATAACTGTAGCTTTAATATGGAATGTTCTATCAGATAATTTAGTCGATTCATAATTGGTTATTGCAAAAAAGTTTTGTAGCTTCATGGTAGCTTTAATATAAAACATTATTATATACCACACGATTCGCGGTAGCTTTAATATGAACCATGCTTTCACAGACTTTTGTCGATTCATAGTTGAAGTATCATATTTTCAAAATGTGTATATATTCATGATAGCTTTAATATGAAAACTAACTATATTACACGTGGGTTTGTTGGTACATGGTAGCTTTAATATATGAAAATGTACATGACATTTGATAAATGAGTTGACAAGTAAATAGCATTGTTTGATATATGTCATTCTCCCACGATCCTCACTAGCACATTCGATTTACCACTAACACATTCGATTTACCACTAGCACATTCGATTTACCACTAGCACATTCGATTTACCACTAGCACATTCGATTTAATCACAGATTAGTTTTGAGTATTCTTCTCAATGATATTCCTCGTATTGAAAATATTGCATCATGTCTTTAAGCACACTCGAAGCTTCGCAACCGCAACATGCGTCACACTTGCACACATGCACCCTATCACCTTGCGCTGAGCACATATTGATCATCCCAATCACACGACGTAATAGTCGCAAAGATTGATCATTGATCACAGTTGTTACGTTTCAAAATCACATTGAGCAAGCATCACGCAACATCACACGATTTGACAATGTCATAATTATCGTCACACATATACTTTTACTTATGTCACAGTTGTTACTTTCAAAATCACATTGAGAAAGTATCACGTACCGTCACACAATTTGTCACAACTATAAGCAATCGAAGCAACGCTCATGTGGAACTATCATTTGGCATCTGCAATCGTCACACATGTATTATTATCATGTCGTTTATCCACAACGTTCTGTCGTAATCAGCGTTTCGTATACGCGGGGTTGTTGATCAATATTCTGTTCCTTGTGTCGCATGTGATTAAGAGAGCGTGACGTATTACATCACATCAGAGCATTATCGATAATCTATGTACAGCTACGCATCACATCTGTTTCAAGTGACGACCAGAGCGTGACGAACTATCAATAATCGACTAGCATGGAGATGCCGACATCACGTCTCTTTTTATCTAATGATCACTAATAAATTTCGAATCCCTGGAATTTTTTGATCGATTTCAAAATATAACTTAAAGCTAACGTGATACCATTTAAAAAATTGTGAATCACATCGCTGACTTCTTTTGATGAATTTATATCCTTCGATGATTTAATGCTAAGGCTCCACTAGAGCGTCTTCGCCTTCTGCGAATAAAAAATCCGATACACACCACGACAATGGCTAGTGCTGGGGTCGAAGCCAAGGCTGTCCCCCCTAAGATACATCCCAAACTATCCACCCTTCTTCCATGGACAATTATCAAAATGCCTAAAAATATAACAAAAGAGACGATACAAATTAATAACTGGGTGAAAGTAAAGAAGAGGCAAAGATGCATTTTCGGTATCAGGGTATACTACTCCCGAGTTTGTACCGAACGCATCGTTTCAGCAATTTACATTACCACCATTACGCGCTTTATGACACTTAAATGATTTAACAAAATGTTATTGTAAGCTTTTCCTGGGTTTTAACGTTCGGAACGTATCGGCAATTTACATTGTCATCATCGGGAATCGGAACTGAAGTTCGTAGGTTGAACTTGCCACAACTATTTAGTGCAAGTTTATAATTTCAAAGATACGTACCTCCAGGAAGTGCCACAAATATCAAGAACAAAAATAAAGTTACCACTGTTGCCACAAAGCATTTCTTGCCACATCGAGATTTCTTAGGTGTAGGACCATCTGGAAACAGAAAAAAATAGAAAATATAAATACAGGCGTATACGAAATATTCTTTGAAAGTCTAGTCTGTGAGAATGGATCAGATTGTGCTAACGATGAAAAATAAAAAAATGAAAATAGGATATTTTCTGAAGTATTTTAAAGCTCGTCAAACAAAATTTACTCTCGCTGTTGATGAGAACCTTAACCTTGTAAACAATACCCAAAAGGGTGTGTGTGCCTAGAAGTTGATCCCCATATTAACGCTGAGGGGAATACCTAACATCACTTTAGTGTCAACAAAATCTGAAAATTTTTATCCAATGGGATAAAAGATAATAAATATGCTCTTCTGCATTCTGAGACCCCGCTGTAAGTCAATGCCTGTTAATATTTTTTCTGTGGGTTTGTGTCCCCAGAGATGGGGTCGGTGGACTTGGACCAATGGTAGTTGAGTAACTGGTTGTACTATGATAACCAGAACACCTAGTGTATGTTTACACACCACACCTGTGATCGTCAATATATAACATCATATTACTGTGTGTTTACAGACGATTTCTACTTCATTGAATTACTAAGTCTCAATCATTTTTCATCTGGCTCCTCAGGTAGAATGACTAAACAGTAAACATAGCATTACTGGGAGTGTTTCTATACCGTAGGAATCGACTACGTAAAAATAGACACTTAATGAGATAGCAATGAAGTGCTTTGGAGTAGTGGTGTTTCTACATTGGGGGTGGTATGGGCTCGGGCAGAACTGAAACTGGTGATTCCCCATTCCACTCTCATTTTTTTGCTTTCAAATAATTTCCTGAAAGCCCGTCATGGCAATTCTGTCGCTCTTACTCACTCTGACACAGCACTAAACGGTCAATTCTAATTTGACAAGGGAATGAAAACTCAAAACCAATTTGACAACGCTACCAATGCCAGTACTGAGTAAAGCGTCAGCTATCAAACCCTTCCGACGAACCACTAACAATACAAACTGCTTGAATCATCAGTATACTCATCAGCAACTTCCTCATTCATTAATGCACAATACGCTGGTGATTCATAACATGTTTATGAGGAAAAGGCACATTCATCTTTGTTCTGACACAATTGGATTAGCATAATACACGACTTTCACAATGTGTTATTTTTAGATAACATGCCCGTCCTTTTATCCTTTTATATAAACAAGGTCATACATATATAGACATTAGGTTAAAGCACCTATGTTTGTTTAAATATTAAATAGAGAGGTTTGCCATTTTTTGACCAATCTTAACTTAGTCTGAGAAACGAATTATTTTTTAGCTAAGTCAATCACTAATAGTATTCACAGCTTTTGGATGTTATAATGATGTCTCGTCTTTTCCCGAGACCTGCCATATAAAGAAAAGACAAAAAGAAAGTGAAATTCCTAGTTTGAGATATTTTTAAAGGAATTATGTGATTTTTTTGTACCTTTCTGGTACTTCTGAAGACTATTCAAATATATTCTAGATCAAAATTGACCCTCGACAATGGCGAGTCTGACCCTTTAAGCCCATTAGTATGATTCATTTGGTGTATTTTGACCACTGTCTGTGTTTAAAAATTTTTATACAAATCTGTGTGATACATAATGTATTATAATTCACAATCCCTTCACGTGTTTTTATATAACGTGTAATAAGCTTATATTATTAATATAATTATAAACTACATTATGAAATATATGTTCGTATTTTAAATACTTTTTCATCACTAATGTAATTTCCACTATCTTTACAGTGACAAATATTCATATAATGAAAAAGCTGATCAAAATATCTAAGGGCTTTTGCGACAGTGACGTAATAAAACGCTTAGTTTTAGTGGAATTGCAGGAACCACAGACGTCCGATTAAAAATTGGATGGTGATGCTATCAGTATACCCGATACTTTGAAAAAAATAAGAAAACTTCTTTACAATCTCTTTAAGGTGGGCTGGCAAAATCTTTGGGCAGCTGGAATTGAATGACTCCAGCAACTGGCAGCATCCAGGGGTGTCTGATCAACTGTGGAATTAAGTCGATCCCAGCACACCGACGACTGAATATCGCAGTTGCAATCGGGTGTTCGTGTTCTACATCTTAATAAAAATTGATAGTCGACTTGGGTGGTTTGAATCTGCGAATTGCGGTCAGCGTTCCGCTCATGTCGCCTGCGATGGATACTATCGAAAGATTTTGAATCCACAGTCGAACTGTGACCATATTTAAACAACTAGTTGGTCGCATGCATCCGTCTCCTTTACCGTCTTTAATAGCCCACATGGTGCAGAAAAGTAGGACGTAAAACTCCATTCATTTCATTTTCATTGCACCCGTATCCTTTGCCAATTAGAACAAGCTTTGAAAAAAATCTTGCTACATCGTTGTCATACTCAAAATGAAGATTCGAAATCAATAGTCAGGACAAGGCATTTTCTGAGGAAGAATTTGAACTATCTACTCAAATATTGCCTGATTTGAACGCTTGATCGTCAAACCATTCAAATTCAAAACTCGACATAAATGAAAGCGAAAATGGAAGATATTTACCTATCTCGGGTTTTTCCTGAATTAACTTAGGCTGTCCCATAACGACTGAACGACAAGCTGCACACTAAAATGTTCGAAGACTGTTTCACATATAACAAATAGTATACAAGCAAGTTATCACTCAACGTAATATATCACTCAAAGTGACTCATATACCGAAGTTTCTACTACGACCTCCTACTAAAAACTAACAGACTATGTAATAAGAATTTGACCTGAGTTTCACCTCTGTTGTAATGATGTAGACTTTGACCTATATACCAAATTACTGAATTGATATACTTAATACTTAGATTTAATAGGTCACTAATAGTTATATAAACTTTAAATAGATAATTTACATTTTTTATTAACGTTTTTTTCCTAGTTTAGAAATCATTAAAGACAACTTTGACCTAGTTATTAAAATTACTAAATTGATATGCTTAATAGGTTAAATAGATAATTTTTAATTAACGGGATCTTTTTGTAATATATAAATCATCGAAGAATGACGTAAGAAACGGTTGTTAACAGCTGTTTTGATTGATATTGACTAGCGCGTGAACATCTGACCGGATTAAGTTATCTGTTAATCCTTAATCCTGATTCAAGCGGATTAATGCGCACAGTTTTTTCATAGTGCATAGAGATAATTCCTGGCCTATTTTGATTGCCAAGAACAACGTATCAGTTGCGTTTTTATAAACGGCAACTTCTCGACAGTTAGAAATTGACAAAGAGCAGGCTAACATCACACGAGTAAAATGAACATCGAGATATTTTGCTTTATTCCATTTTGAAAAGGTCATGGTGGAAGTAGCATCTTAAACTCATTTCCTTTAAAAGTATGTCAGAATTTAACTTCTAATGTAATTTGTAATTTAAAAAAAAAGTTTACCTGGTTTCGTACACATGTGAATATTTCTATTGCGTTTGGTGGTTATCGTTACAAGATTTCAAATTTTGAATTTGAATCGGAACACTCACAGCTATATTGCATTGTGTCCAACTAGCTAGCAGATTGTATCAAAACGTACTCTGTAATAGACTGTTCCTCGACACCGATCATGGCATCAGACACGTTACAATAGGCACTAAGACGTCCTGTTGCACTGAAATGATCATCGAAGGCACTGGTCGTGGAATTAACTTTTTTTCTTTGCAAATGTTACAACATACAATACAGCCAAGAAAAAAAACGTGTCACTCGAAGACGTTGGGACGTCATAGTTGAACCGGGTCTGGTATCGAAAGCATTTGCAATGGAATCGGAATGTCTGGAATTCTTTTCTTATCTTAGGACCAATGTTAATTCGGACAGTACACCCCCCCCCCCCACCCCTTTAAACTGACCATCGAAAGCATTGGCAAAGGAAACATAATTTCTGGAAGCTTTTCAGTTCCAGCAGGCCATAAATTGAGACATCAAGTAACTAAAACACACTAGGATGTTACATTGATTAAGATGGAGTGTTGCTGATTGATATTGAGCCAGACAGACTCTTGAAGGTACCGACCGTGGAATCAAAATATTCCTTAGAATAGACAATACATCGAGACACCAAGCAACAAAAACGCAGTAGGATGCTACATTAATTAAGATGGAATGTTGCTAATTATTTTCAAATCGCAGTGAAGATATTATAACAACAGTGTTAAACTAATTTCATTAGAGAATACAACGCCTAGGGTTATTTGGGTTTAATCTAAGAGATATATGATTTAACGAGGTGGTATTAGACTAAGCGAGGGCAATAAGTACGTAGCCACCTATTTCAATATTTATTCAACATGGTTTTGTCATTATAATTTCGGTTCAGAAGCTGTTTTTCACTTAAGTCTAATTCTGATCGCGACTGTGCATTGATCGCACTTTTTCACCATCGACTTCATAATTTCATATGATACAGTTACCAAAATGATTTATCTGATCTAATGGCTAATGGATGTTACCGAGATCAATCGTAGAGTGTTATCAGGTGACTTAGGATAACATTTGTATGCCCTTCCTCATTAGCGAAATTCGCCAGGAAATCTTCTTAGTCATTAGAATTTTCACTTAAAGATCGTGGTTGATTTAACTTTCAAAGTTAATTCTGACACACATGGAATTGAAGGCCCTAATTTTGACGATGAGCTGTGGACACTATTACTGGTAGGCTTAGCTTAAATATTCTTGTTTCTGAGAATAAGGTATGATTGGTCAAATGGCGAATCTGTCCCTTTCAGTCTAATTCTGATCTTCTTCATGTATTGATCACACTTGTACACCACATGTGTGCATGATTTTATGTAATACAGTTATCAAAATTAAGTAATGGAAGTTTTCATTCTACTTTGATGGGATTGTCAACTTTCCGAAACCAATCAAAGAGTTTCTATCAGGTGACATTGAAAACTTAGTATGCAAACTCACCAGACAAACTTGTTAGTTCATTCGAATACATACTAATTGACAAACTCAATCACAAAGTGGTGCCATGTGTCCTTTTGGAATGTCACTTAATCGAAAAGGCTCGATTCCACATTCGAGAGTCCTGAAAAAAGTGTTTCGCTTCAAGAACCTCGCAGAAAGATTGTCAGAACGTTTTGACCGTAGAGAGATATATATGGTGTTCGATAATCTTTTCTAATTATAACAAGCTTAATGTGACTTACAACGAACATGTCGAACTCGACGTGGTGAATCCTATGATGTATTATGGGTAAGACCTAGCGGGTAACAATCACGCTTGAAGGCAAATGGGAATTAAACTGGAGGCAGTTTACGAGTGAAAATATGCCCCTCGACCAATTTACGCTTGTTATTTCAAAGATAAACAAAAGAATTATTTTCTCATTTCCTAGGAGAAAATTATTACTGTTCAAGAGGATTAAAAGCTGTCATATCACTATAGAGTCAGTGTCAAGGACCTTGTGTATTATTACTTCGGCACTTTTACTAATTAACTGATCGCTGATAATGACTTAAAGATATACCTCTTACGATGACGAAAATTGATATTTTGAAACTTTGCCCAAACAAGTCTTTATTTATCAGTATCTAGTGTCATAACTATACAACAGAATCCCTCTATAATCTGATAAATCTATAAAACTAAGTAATAATTCATTAAATTTAGTAATTTTGAATCACGCTTAGAAGCGTTTTTCAATAATTATTTAGTTTAATGGATATATCGTCTTATATAGGGATTCTATTCTTTAGTCATGTCACCTGGTAAATCCAACTGATGAATATATACACTTACTGTCCAAGTTTGAGAATTTAAATTTTGTGTCCATTCTAAGAGGTAGTATTCCTTTAATTAAGCATTGTTCTAATGACCAGGAATAAACCGGCTTGTACGCCGAAGACCTGAAGCTTACAAAATCAATGAGTAGACATGAAGTGAGTGCGCTAGCCCTCTAAGGTATTTGTCCAACAATACGACATTGTTCAAATAGTCGCAGAAGCGTAATCCCCATAGTCTTGTACACATTAACTTCTCTTTTCTTCGCGGAGTTTAATAAATCATTTACCAACAAACAGTTCGTTGACAAACAGTAAACTCTGGGTTGAAAAGTCTATTGATCTTAAAGAGGCAGATTCGCCATATTCGAGGTTTGGTTTGGTTCTTGAATATATGTTAGAAGTCTTCAGAAGTACTAGAAATGTACGGAAATGGTGTAATTCCTTCAATAATATCTCAAACTAGAAATTTCTTTCCTTATTTCTATATATGTCTTTTCTATATATGACAAAGTCCCAAGAGATGACGAGTCGTTTTTTTTCTAACTTTCTAACGCGGATAATTCTGAACACACATTAGTGAAAGGTGTTGCAACAATCAATGACGTCTGAAACCAAATTGGGATGGTGCAAATTGATGCTGACAGTGTCCCCGATACACATAGTTGACGTCTAATGTTCATTGCCTTGTCAAGGGTTTACGAATTTACGGCGCCCGAAATTGTACCGACACCGACACTTAATCGTAAATTGCAGACTAACTAGGCGTCAGATTTGCATTCTGAAAAGTAATATGGATGGCCGAGCCATGCAACGACAAATATCTACACAACTATACCCCATAAGCATTTAAAAAATAACTTACGATTTGGTTGTGATATAACTACATTTAAAGCGGTCATCGTTCACAGTGGTTGTTTTCGTACTTTTAACTTAAATTACTAAGTTTAAGCTAAATAACACGAAATGCCACAAACTAAATTTGAAAGCAGGGAAAATGCACACAAAAGAAACTTTTCATTACAAGGCATGTAACAGTCACGTACCACACACGTTTGTGAAGTCAGTTTTCCGTGATATGGTTATTTGTTTATATATACTCCAGTAATTAAAAGGCAGTATTGTTACTGCTGTAGAAATGAAAATACTACCATTCCCTTTAAGAGTCTAGCAATACCTCCGTGGTAAATTCTTCTCCGTCAACAAGAGAGAATAGTGTATGAAAATATCAGAATATATGGAATTTGATGTTCTTCAACAAAAAGAGACTTTCAATTGTCTTCTCAACGCCAGTACGTTTTCTGTAAGATTACTGCTTTAACCAACGAAATTCTGAGGAAATCAGATGAATCGCTATAGATTTAGAAGTCCAAAGCCCCCCAAAGAAATTGGATCCTGGTCGTCGTCCTGCGCGTTCAGAATTTGCGACCATCCAGTTACGTCACCGACACGTAATCTTAAATTGCAGACGAACAAGGCGTTAGATTTTGATTTTCGTAAGTCAGAATTTGTGACCATCCAGTCTATCACAGTTGCTGGTAGTAGATCAGTTTCTTGACGCTCGTAATGGCAACGAAAGATCCGAAGAGAGGTTTTGAATCGCCAGTCGACCAGACCCCACCTTTATGTCATTATGAAGGTTAAAAAGATGGAGCATTAATTGAAATTTTAGACTTTTCGCTATGTGATCCATAATGCGAGAAATGGTTATTTCTTGTATACAAGAAACTATACCCAATTATCTAATGAAATAAATTAATGTAGATAATCAACAGCATGGACAAAATCGATAAACCGCCTACAAATTTGTCAACATCGTCTTAAAGATCTTCAACGAATTAGGTCGTTGATGTTTTAATTTCCTTTCTTAACGACGATGCTTTGATGTATTCTTATGTAATGAAAAAGCTTTCTTCGTCCATCGATCAACCTTTTCTTTTCTGATGCGATAAAAGCCCATTTAAATTTAATTTGTCACTTGTGAGCTGGAAGGCCAATTACGTTTCTGTTCAAAAAAATTGCTTATAAATCATGTACCAGCAATTCATAGCAATGGAACAACTGAGCCGTTATAGCCATCGGATTAGCACATCCAGGGCGATACGATGTAGTACCATAAGATCGCATTCTCGCATGGCAAAACGCATCCAACTATCAATACGCATGAAGCTTGCGATCGCAATCCGCTCAAAGCAAACCATTCCACGACAAAAGCTTGCCGATACTTGCAATCCGTTTCACAGATCCGTTCATCTCAAATTAATTTAGACTGACAAGAAAAAATAAATTGTGCCATTGGTTCGAATCCGTTCATATCACAACACGACTAATGCTTGTCGCTTGGATCGCAATCCGTTTCACCGATCCGTTAATCTCAAATTAATTTAGACGAACAAGAAAAAAGAAATTGTGTCATTGGTACGAATCCGTTCAAAGCAAACTATTCCACAACAAATGCTTGTCGATACGTGCAATCCGTTTCACCGATCCGTTCATCTCAAATTAATTTTGACGGACTAAAAAAAAAAGAAATTGTGCCATTGGTTCGAATCCGTTCAAAGCAAACTATTCCACAACAAATGCTTGTCGATACTTAGATCGCAATCTGTTTCACCGATCCGCTCATCTCAAATTAATTTAGACTGACAAGAAAAATAAATTGTGCCATTGGTTCGAATCCGTTCATATCACAACACGACTAATGCTTGTTTCACCGATCCGTTCATCATCAAATGCTTTAATCATCGGATTACCTTAATGAGAAATGTTTCGGAGGCTTCCGATCGAAATCCGTTTCATTCACCAATTGATTAAGACTGATACAAAAAGAAATACATATTTACCATTCGTCATTGTCTGTGAAACACAACTAAAGAGAGAGTGGTATGAAATGAATTACAAGTCGGTATTGCTCGCCAAGAGATCATGGGTCGATTGACATGTTGGCTTATTCTAAACTAAACACGGCATTCCCCATGGTTTGTTTGTTATTTGTCAAGTTCAGCTTATCTCACCTATTATGTAGCACTATTATTAATCATGCACCTTAAAATAGGACGGGTTGTAGCTCAGTTTGAGTAGAGTGCTTACGTCATTATGGCTAGTGTTCGCTAAGACAGTATGGTATTGATTTTTTTTTTAAATTTTGGAAAACGTATTTATGCATTAGAATATATCTTTCTGAAGGACGAGTTGCAGCCCAGTTAGATTGGAGCTTGGAATTTGATCGCGTCATTATGGTTTAAAGGTTTTCGCTATGACAATACAGTATTGGAATTGGTGTTTTTGATGATTCACTATTATTAACCATGCACCCTTAAAGAGAACGGGTTGTAGCCCAGTTCGAGTAGAGCTTGAAATGTCATTACATCATTATGGTCAAAGGCGTTCGCTGAGGATGGTAAACGTATTTATGCAGTGGAATGTACTTTACGTTGGGACAGGATGTAGATCGGTCAGCTTGTGTATTTGAAATCTTATTACGTCACACGTCATTTTAGTCCATGTTGTTTTGCTGTCAATACAGAATTGGCTTGGGTATGTTTTTCTGGAAAAAAGTATGTATGCCTTAGAATGCAAGAGTCAGCAAGGACGGGTTTTAGTCAATCCAGACCCTCAATAGCCAAACAACCCACTTTGATTGGTTATAAATAACATCATTATAAAGAGACTAAGGTAGAAAACAATGGAGACGAGTAACATCAATAAAAAGAGAAACAGAATTGTAATCTTAATTAAACTGATTTGCTTGCGATATTGTCATAATCAATCATAACTCTAGTTCATGCGAACTTAACATTAGCCTAATAATTTTACACAAATTAGTATCATTATCAAAGACAATAGCATTATTAGTCCGCTGATGTTTTCCAGTAAATACATGTTTTGGATTTGATTTTTTTACGTAGGCAATAGTTTTGTCCTCTCTTGAGACCCTAACGATTTTCAGATAGCTGGAGATGAATTCGAGCATGGCTTAATTTTCACCTAAAAATACTCCCGAGGGTGGGGCAATGACCCAACAGCCCACCCCCTAAATACGCAACTGTTCAAGTTCCCACCACCATCGGATGGGTTAACATGGAAATAAACCAGAATGTTCAGATAGGACGATAACTAGAGACCCCGTGCGCTGTAGGCCGTGTGAATTAGAAATCTCTCGACATTTAAAATGAATAACGATTAGGCTAATTTCACTATTCCAGCATACTTTCCTCCATTGTTCACTTCATGGTGTTATTAACCCTCAACAGATGGAACCTAAAAGAGAAGGCGTTAAAGATACCTCGACAGTCGTCGTCACCATTAAGGTGTAACTAGTAACCATTGGCCCAATCAGAAGCAGAAACGTTTAACTCCAACTAGTTTAGATCGTGATGTAAAGGAAGACTGAGTAGGCCAATTTAAAACAAATATAAGGAAAAACTGATGAGTAATTTGACCCTAATTGAAATCATGTCTGATACGATCTCTCCATTTATTTACGTCAAACCATTTCAATTGGACTAATCGGTAAGAAGCGTGCTTAAGGAATAGGTTATCCAATTCACCAGTCAATATCACTTTGTCTTGTCTAAAATTGTATGCCGGTTACATTGAAGGGATTGTAAAGAGGTTTTCTAAACTCTGTATAGCACCGGGGACATTGCTAGCATCAATTCACATCATTCCAATTTTCAACCAGACGTCCGTGGTTCCTGCAATGTCACTAAAACTAAGCATTTTATGACATTACTATCGCCAATAATCTTATAAGATGAAGCAGATTTTACAATCGACACCCAGTGGTGGGGTGGCGAGGGCAGGTAGACAAACAAACAAAATGAAAGAACGAACCATCATTATTTACAAGGATAACAACTTATGTTAACGAGGATCCTTTCTACTAGCCGGTCCTTAGTGAAATCTTTTGGCAGTGATCTTTAGCGGACCATTCGTAACCATTTTCAGTTGTGTCCACTGGAATAATGGGTATAAATTCTGAGAACTTCGCAAACACTAAGGAAGGAAGCACTCCCTTGACAGACGACATTTGAATTCTTGTCTCGATAAGACAGTCATTATAGCAGGTCATATCATTTATTTAAAAAAGGAATTCTTGAAATTCCTGACTTACATTTATAAATTGGTCGATGTCTTGAGTCAGACATGAATAATGTGAATCAATAGTACATGTATTGAAAGTTATTGATTTGGGTAAATTCTTTAATATCTAGTGGTTGCCAGGCCATGCGTTAAGTTTCTCAACTATACCAAACATTCTGTAACGAACCGTTCAATCGATCCAGATCCAAATACCTACGACTATCAAAACACCCAAATCGGTAGTATCTGATTACTGGATTCGTATCAAAATATACCTGAAAGAAAGTCAAAACGTGTACAGAAAACGCAGGGCTGGTACGACTCATCATTTAGGTTGAGTCATGATAAATTGCTTCGTCAAGGGCAATAACTCAAAATGAATTATCCCAAAAAATCCCCCAATTCGAACAAAGTTGAAATCTCACCGACATACATAAACGCTCAAAGCACCGTCTAGGTCGGATGAAAGTTGTAGCTTCTATGGCGTTCACAACACGCTACTTTTGGGGTTTTGTTCTTATGTTAAGTGATTTCTCTCACTTATTGTCGTAGGACCAAGCGTAATCTATGAAACTTTACCGAACCTAGATGCCCTGTTGATGGCTATGTATTCAAACGCCTGTCAGCAACAAGGGATGAGCTCTAGCCAATACAGATGATACTAGTTTTACTAATTTTCACGTTGAGAATATTATAATAAAGAGTGAATCAAAGATCACCAAGTGTAAACAACTAAACAAGAACGGCACCTGTATTTAATAGTTTGCTATACTACAGACCCATTTTACCAAGCCAAGATGTCCCGTCGATGACTGTG